ATCCTAAATTAAATTATAATAAAAATATTGAATTAAAGAAAGTATACAAAAAAACGAAAACTTTTAAATAGTTAATTTGATATTAATTTCGATAAAAAAATCAAAATTTTATGATATTTAAAAATTTATATTTTATTCAAAAATAAAAATGTTATCATTTTTTCAAAACCATATAAAACCGTATTATAACATCGATGGAGACAGAAAAAAAACAAAATACTAAAATCGAGATATATCTCGCTGCATTGCACAAGTACCCTTCTAGTAAAAAAAATTAAACATGAGTGAGATTGTAAGATTAATACCTAATATGTAAGAGGTTTAAATCTTATTTCAAACAAAAGTTTAAATTTTCATATTTGAACTCCTAAATACTATTATAGAAAATATTAACAACAAAAATATAGTCTTTACTGTATGAAAATCAGTATTTTGATTTATAACATGCATCATTCTTAAACTACAAAACACCTGCAAAAAACATGAAACTATCATTTTACAACTTACTGTTAGCGATAATAAAGAGATCTACCATACCAATATTAAGATCTTCAAAAATATCTGGTAGTAACGTTTTCTAAATCAATAATGGACCAAAATTTTCGAACACATGGGCGGACCTAAGTGCAAACGAGGGGAGCCCCTAACCAATAAAAGGAATTTAAGAACGAAGGTTTTCACCTTCTTTCGTACTTGCCCTACCTCAGTTAAATACTTAAATATGTGTGGCTAGCTAGCTTTCCAAGTTTCTTGATCTGCTATCATGTAACAAGTATCGTATTTAGAGGGTGTTTGAGATTGCTTATTTGAAACAACTTATGTTTTTCTATAAAAGCACTTATCAACTTATTATAAATTAGAAAAGTTTAACTTCTTCAAAAACTTCTTATCACCGGTTTGGCACCGGTATAAGTTGTTTATCCATACACTCAAAAATACTTATTACATGTGTGGCACCGCAATAAGTCAATAAATTATTTTTATAAACAATACCAAACACCTCTTATATTTATAGCGTTCTTTAAGTTTTTAAAATGTCGTTTTAATTATAATATATATTAAAATAAACATTTATTTTAAATTATAAATATATGAATAAGATTATTAAAAAATGGCAATTAATATAAAATGTATTTTGGTTTCATGCAATTTATTAATATAAACTATGGTTATTTTCATCATTTTTTTTTGAAGTTTTATTTTTATTTTATAAATAAAATGAGAATTTTAAAACCCAATATTAATTTCTCGGTCTTTCGGTCAAAATTTGCCATTCGCATTTTTGGCTTTTTACACGTGAAGAACGCCAGTAATCCAGTGTGGTCCGACGCATCTTGCAATGCCACCCGCAATTTTTTTTTTATTCGAATTAAAAATAATCATAAATATAGATAAAACTATTTTTCCTACATAATTTTAATTCAATAAAAACAATTCATTTCTCAAATAAATAAATAAAACAAAAGTAAGGAGCCATTTATCAAACACTTACCCAGGTAAATGCTTACTAAGGGGCCGTTTACCACACATTTAACCGGTAAGCGCTTACCGGTAATATTCAACATTATCATTTACTTACCTGGTAAGATTTTAGTTCACGAAAACGACATTGTATGCAACAATTTACCTGGTAAGCGCTTACCATGTTAAGAGTCAATCGTCCTCACTTACCGAGTAACACTCTTTTCCTTGCCTTGCTCTTACCAAGTATAGATTCTTGGTCTTTATCGCATTCATCCGGTAAGGTAATGTGAGTCAGTAAACTCTTACCCAAATAAGAGTTTGGTAAACAGCCCCTAAGTCATATTAATTTACCGGATGAATATGATATAGACAAAAATCTTATCCGGTAAGAACGAAACAATGAACAAGAGTTTTACCCGGTAAGTGAAGACGACGATTCTTACCACGGTAAGAGTTTATCGAGTAAATTTACTGTATGCGGTGCCATTTCGGTAAATAAGTAATAGTGTTGAATTTTATCGATAAGCACTTATCAAGTAAGTTTTTAGTAAACAACCCTTGAATTACATTTGATGAACAATTGTATGAGAATTAAAGTTATGATAAAAGCGTTAAATAGATCCGGATATTTGATTACTTTTAATTTCATCCACAACCTATGAATTATGTTTCTCATAAAAACTGATTTAATGCATCTTATTAATGTTGATCTTTAATTAGGATTTATTCATGTTAACAGAATCGATTAGGCTTTTTGATCTTTTAGTAAAAAAAATTTAATTTTAATTTAGAAATAAAACATATATATTAATATTTTAATACATATATACACACATACACACCCATGGGACACAACTTATGAATGGACAACTTAATAAATTTGTAAGCTAATAACATTAAAAAATTTAAATTATATTTTGTCTAAGTAAATTATATATCGAGTGAACTACAATTCCAATGACTTATTTTTATCTGTTGATGATTGGTAACTGACGGTGTTAATTTTAAAAATCTTAAGTGTTATGAAATTGAAAAGTTATGAACCATTAATGCAAATAGTTCTTTTTAAGGACCAAATTCAAAATTTGAGCAAACTCATGGTTTAATTCAATCTATAATTTAAGTTATAAACCAAAACATTAAAACCCAATTAATAAATGAAATATAATTGCATTAAGAATCTGGATTTTTAATTTTTAATTATACATACATACATATATATATATATATATATATA